CTACTCAACTTTCAAGTAAAATCACTTGGAACTATAACAGAGCTTGTATCACCCCCGCAGTCTATTGAAACCTATTGTTGCCTCAACCAGAATTTATTTAATCTGAAGAAAATACTAGCTGGTGCCCTGGGGACATTCAGAGACTCTGGTGAGTGGGACTTTGTACAATAAGTCAAGTTTTCTACAGTCAATACAATTCCAGAGGGCTTAAAGAAAAACCTTTGGTCTGAAGAAGACACACAGAACACTGGACAAGCTGGGGAGGAAACTCGTCTTACAGAAGGGGAGCTGGAGAACAGAGAATTGCTCCGTGGTCTGATGCTCTTGCAGCTCTACTGCACCAGCAAGTCGATAACTCACAGATTAGAGATGTGATACTGTGATTCCTCCTTTAGAAAGCACTTCTCAAGGAGTCTGATTTACTTTGGTTTTAATGCATGGATTATCAGTTTAATTTATTTCCATGAGGTTTTAAATAACAAATTTAATTTAGGAGATTTTGTCAAGCGATTTTTAAAATTCGCCTGCACTCTGCTGGATGCTCTCCCAGGAATTTCTGTCTTCCAAAACTGCATCTCTTGGCTTTTAATGCAAAACCCACAAAGATTCTTGTGACACCAGTCTATACACTTCAGATCCCTGAGAGCCACAAGGGGCCTTTACTCCTCTCCTTTCTGTGTCAGAGGGACTGCAGTGGAACTGCAATGGGCTTTCTCCAACACAGCTGCAGCGATGACATCCAGGTCAAGCTACAAGGCTGTAAAGCGTGGGCTGATTGTAAATCATTCTGACTCAGTGCATATATTCGCACTGGACAATGGAGAGTGGGACAGAAATGTTGGCCAGACCAAAGATCCACCTGGCTCCACATCCTCCCTTGTCAGTGACTCATGTTGGATGCTCAAAGAAAGACAGAAAAGACTGGGCATGTAAAAAGTGACCCAAGGAGCACAGGGCCATATGACACAGAGATCCCACTCTGGGACCAAAGAGCATTGCAGCAAGCCTAAAAATCGTCCCCCACAGTAGGGTTAGTTAGTTCAGTCACAGGTCACTGTAGAAGGTGAATTTTTCTCACTTTTTTCTCACTTTTCTTTTTTTTTTTGTTGTTCCAAACCTTTATCAACATCTGGCTGATTTTAATACAGTTGATTTACTAATAAGAAACATCTAAACTACACCAATTCAGCAGCATAATACTCCTGCAAAGCTGAGATCAGAATTGGTGTCCATGGAAAGGAATGTGAAGGGATGACACTTTGATGCATTTGATTTTTCAGGATGTTTTATCATTTTCTTCACATTGGCTACCTAGTATTTCCACTTATTTATCTTTTAAAGAAAAAGCTAATCAAAGGCAAAGCTGAGTGACAGCAGGGTGTTTCCTTCCCCATTAAATGGAAATTGAAATGTAGTTGGTATTAATAACTGCAGGTGTAGATCTGCAACTTCTCCCATACTCTCCTAAAGAAATGCACCTGGAGGCATTTCCATGACTTCCCGAACCCTGTCTGCAAGACAGCAGACGTGCCTGGGACAAGGTGTGCTGCCCCTAAACTTTCCTGCAGCAAAATTTACCTTTATCACATCTCCCTGTGCAGCACATTTGGGAGGCTTGAGGGAATATGTAAGAAAGTCTTTATGTCAGGAGATAAGAAAGATCATAGCAGAGGAAAGTTCGGTCCGGCCCAGCACCCTACCTGCAGCACTGCAAATGCTTACAGTGGAGGGAATCAGGAAGTGAAAATTCCTCAACATAGCCTCCAAAGCACTGATGTTGTGAGGCTTTTTGAACTAGAATTGTTACCTTTGGTTGTCATTTTGTTTGAAGAGGCAAGATGGGAAAAGGTAATGGAAAGATCACTCTGTCTCTTTCACATCTCAATGACCTATGAACAGCTGTAAGAAGCTGATTTAAATCAGAGCATCCTTCAGGGGCCAGGATTTGGGAGTCTCCAATATGATGTATCACCTCCCAGCTGATTATCCTTCATCTTGAGACACATCTCAGTCTCAGCCCAGCTGCCTAAGTGTAAGCATCACTGGTTGACAATCTGGTTGTGAGCAACATGGATGGAGCAGAAGATGGGGGCAGACAAGCTGCGAGATGAGCTCGGGGACTCAGATTTGATGTCACATGCTCTTGAACCTTGAGGACCAGATTTACATTTGCTTTAAAGTCTGTGCCAATAAAGAGACAAGTTCCTCAGCACAGAGAAATTCCCTGCTTTTCTACCAGCTGTAGTGAGTTAGTGGTTCTCTGCAGGTCCACATGAAAAGTAGTAACTTATGATGCTTGGGCAAGAAACCAGTGAGAACAGCTGTCTGGGAGGAGAGAGGATTTAGGTTGCAGGTTGTTTTGGAGAGGAATCTGAATTTGGAACGATTTTTCTCATTTCCTGTTTACTAAAATAAAGGTGGAGGTATAGTTGTGCTTTATGTGTATTTAGAATTTTTTTGAGAAAGGCAGATGTTGACTGTAATCCATATATCTCAAAAGCAAAATAGTGAAATATATGACCTTCTCTATTCCCTGTCTTTATAATATACCAGTGAAGTGTCTGCTACTTGGAAATATTATGGGTTTGGGATCCTATTCCTAAAGCTTTTAATTCATTTTATTCTACACTTTCCAAAAATAAGTTTGTTTGTTTTTTATTACTTGCTGTTCCATATGAAACTGAGTAGTCTACAACTACCTGATTTTACTTCTTGAAGATTGCCATACCATACCTAAGTCTGAGATGAGTTTTGCTGCATAGATAAGCATGAATTCAGGATACTGAATTTATTTCAAGCCATACATCCCACTCTGATCTCAGGAACTGACTTTTCCCAATAATACACAAGAGCAACACCAAATGTAGCAGGAAGAATATCAGAGTTCCATGTCAGCACTTACCAAGGTTATCTGGAAAGAAATTTCCATTGTGGACCAAAGTGTTGTCCCTTTAAAGACTTGGATAATTTATGACCATATCTGCAAAAACAAAACAAACAAAAAAAAATAAACTAAACTTTTAATGTGTGGAGAAAGTCTCATACACACATACACAGATTCTTAACGGGCAAATTAGAAACACCCAGAAAAAGAATCACACAACCTTGAGAGCTACTGGTCTCTCTTAATCTACATGTAATTTTATTTTTTTTTTAAATCATTGCTTCTCAAGAGTTATTACAGTTCTAACTAGATTAGACATGAGCATTGATAGCATCGCAGGCCCTAACCACACCAGAAAAATGAAAAGTGGTGCTCCGTTCTGCAAATGATATGCTAATTAGTTTCCCAATCTATTGCTAAGGAGTCATTAACATTGCTATTTCGTACTTAAAGCATATTGGGAATTTCAGATTTGGTTTGTTGGCCTGTTGTATGTCCTCATTTCCCTCTTGCTCTCTACCCTTCATGAAAATCTTGGAAGGAAAGAAGGGGTCCAAACTGTTAGAGACAAGTTTTGTCATCAGGGGGTCACACAGACTTGTCCTAGTCTTCTTCACACAAACACCCACATACATGAACAGAAAGAAACTTGCCCTTAATACAAGCACCAAAAGCAAACGTTTTATCATCTACATCATCTTGGTGGTAAGGACTTCAACAGATTGCACCCCCCTCGTAGAGGGTATTATTGCTTCTAAGCTAACCATCTGTACAAATAAAGGGTGTGTTATCTCACTGATTGCTGCAATTAAATGGTTTACCCAGTCACTTGGAACTGAGGGCTGAACTGAGACCTTCTGAATCCCCAGCCTGGAGGTGTTCAATGGTCCATCTTGCTCACTAAGGACCCAAGTGATAGTCCTGTCTCCAGAGCTCAGCTGTGATAGGGACCCCTAAGATTCAATGTTCAGTGATGATGAGCCAAGAGGGCCTACGTTTCAGCAATGCTCTGCTTTGTTCATGTTGGCAAGCAAGTTTGCTTGGGACGAACCCAAGTACAGTAGGTGCATCCAAAAGTCCCTCCAATTCCACATGCTGAGCTAGTGTTTAAAACACCCTGAGCTTGATATTCAGAGGCAGCATTCCCAGACCCATCAAACAAAGACAGCTGCATGTACTCAGCAGGCAGACAGCCCCAGACAGCCCGGACCACATTTTACCTGGCTTTGCCAATAGGAGAAAACCCCTTGCAAAATGCTGGAACAGCACGCTGCTGACTCAGAGGGAACATCTTTCAGCCAGGCACCAAGATGGTCTGAAACTGCTTAGCCTGCAGAGCAAAAAATGATATAACTTCTCTTGATGGAATGGAGGTTGTGACAAATTGGCAGCCTCAGAAAAATATACGTTTAAAATGCAGTATATTTAATATACTGGGCTATAAAAAGAGCCTCTGAGAGAAAGAGAGGGAGAGAGAGTCCTGGGCCCCTGCTTTTTGTGGTTGTGCGTGTATACGTTTAAAACACAAGTAACATGTCCCAGTTACTGCTAGGAACCCATCAGTTACCTGACAGACAAGAAATTTGTGTATTTTACATTTTGCTTATCCCAAATTAGGTCAAAAATATAAAATAATAAAAATGATCGTGGACTAGGAATCCTCCTGAGTCTCAGAAGCAGGTGAGATCAATCTGCACGTAAATCATTTTGAAACTTGTACTTTCCATCTCAGCTGGCACATATATATATACATATATATATATAATATAAATATATATATATTATATATATAAATATAAATATATATATATATAATATTGATATCTTATCTTTCTTTCTTCTTCTTCTTCTTCCTCCTCTCCTCCTTCTTCCTCTTCTTGCTTCGTTGACAAAACAAGCAGCCTTTTCAGCCCTGTAAATGGAGTTTTGATGTTTTCTCTGGGCAGAGCTCCACTGGGTGTTGCAGCATATTAAAAAATAATCCTGCCCAATATTTTTTGCAAGGAAAAAACTGTCTCTTTCCCACCTGCCATTTCACTGTTGACAGATTAACACTTTTCCCTATGCAAATGAGTAACATCTGGGGATTCTCCACCCACCTCAATCCCAGTGTTGATGGTTGATTCCCTGCTCTTTAAGACAACATAGGCATGCATGAAGAGAAGCTCTATTCCTTGTGCTGCCATGTATACCTGAATCAATATATTTAATGCAGGTCAGCATGAAAATTGCTTCACTGAAACTTATGTGTATAATAAACTCTATGTTCTGTGGTAGCTAGGGTTTCACTGGAATGAAGCCATGCAACAGCCATTATCTTTACCTAGAGGAGCTGATGAAAGCATTTATCACCTGGGATAAGTGCGCTGAGTGAAGCAGAGATTTTCTTGAGTTTCATGGCAGCTCCTCTCTCAGTAAGTAGAAATGCTGTGTGTACGTCCAATCAGTTAATGTTGTCTTCCATGAAAGGTAGCAGCTTTCAAAAATTAATCCATCCAACATTTTAATCTCGTGTGAAGATGTAAATTAGTCTTTAATTGCTCACTAGCTAAACTGATCACTGAGATACCCATCAAACTGGGTGTACAGGGGAAATACAAATGATTACACAGTAGAGCACTGCCTCATTTCCATTAATGGGAGATGAAATATGCTCCAGGAAAGTCATTTCTTGCCTATCTATTCACTGCAGGGGTCTTTCTGAGTTCTACTCATTTAGACTCTTCCAGATCTCTTAACTTTTAATTTCCAGTGCATGAAATCACGTGCTGGATTTCCTGATGGTAGAGGATCATCAGATCCTTGACGTGCCTATTCTGGGTCATGTAACAAGTGGTAGCTCTGGCTTAGCTTAAGAAATATACCCTTCCAGAAAAGCCCTTGGAAAGCAAAGGGGTGGATTAGTATGATGTGTCAGACAACAGCATCCCCTAAGTGTTGGCCATGATCAGTGGTGCTCATGGAAGTGGTCATCTTCCGAAACCTGTGACCTTTATCCCCAGCTGATGCTCTTCTAAGAGAGAAATACCAATGTTAGTGGAGCACAGAGGCAGCTTGAGGGCAGGGGAGAGAAGCCAAAACTCAATCACCTGTTTATTATCCCTGGGTGTTGATGAAATTGCTATAAAACCAACTGTACTTTTTAAAGCCTCTCTCCTACTCTGCCAAGCTATTGAATGGGGATGAAGGGTAGAGGTGTGAAGTTGCTGCACAGAGTTAAAAGCCAATGCATTTAACACATAACATAAATCACCAGTGACAGCCTGCATCCAGGTAGCTCCTTTCATCACAGCTTTCAAAGCAATTAACAAAGCGTGGTAAGTGAACAACCAAGTCAAAGTGCAGGAGGGGTGAAAAGGCTGCACGGAAGTCACAGCTCAGCTCAGAAGTGAAGTCACCTTTCCTGACAAGTATTGTGGATCCGCTGCCATTTCTTCACCTCCCCTAACCAACCATGGGGCTGCCCTGGGACTAAAGCTAGAAAACAGCCTAGGGTTGAGCGCACAAGTTGCAAATCTTGCAATGCAGGAAAGGGCAGCAATGATCTATAGGCATTACTTGATGTACACATTCCCACAGGGTATGCTAGTGCATTCATGTGCACAGAAATATATAAATTTTAGTGCATGAATAAGCTTCCCAAAGGTTTGGACATTGCTGTCCTAGGTGGGAAATGGTGTTTTTCTTCAGTCTGGAGGAACATTTTGCAAATGATTTCACTAAATCCATGACCAGTTTCTGTTTAATCCCCCAACTGCCTTTTACCACTGCCAAGGGACATGAGCATTTCTAAAAGTGGAAGTGAAAAAAGAGAACTGGTCACAGGATGTTCATGCTCCTCCCTGACATCTTTGAAATCTAAAAATCTCCAGGGTAAGAAGTTTTAAACCATAATACTCCCCAGACAGAGTAATAAAAAGGGGGATCACTTGTGCCAGATCCTGAGAATAGCAAAGGAGCTGACACCCCTCCAGAGTGTGGATTCCCCTAGTTCATCACTTGCATTCATGGGGAAATGCTATGCCCTTCTGGGATGCAGCTCGATAGTACCTGGTACATGCTGGGTATATTTTTCATTTCTGAACACCTGTGTCTTTGTGTCTTTATAAAATTTTGCAACTGTTTTTTTTTGTTTGTTTGTTTTGTTTTGGGTTTTTTTTTGGACCTTTAATGTGTTCTAACTTTTAACTTGGATTACAAAAGATTAAAAGTTCAGGTACTCTGATGTTGCTGGTGTGTTGGTTTTTAAGAATGTCTAATGACATCATTATAATGGCATCATTCACTTGCCTCAACATGGGTACCCAGAGGGAAAAGAGATGCCCTTGGGATATTCCCTGTCTCCCAGATACCTAACCAGAGGGTCCTGTCTCATATCAGCTTAATCCATGTCTCAGATACCCTCAGGTGTCCGAAATGGAACTTGGTACCTATTGTAAGGCACCTGAATCCAGCCCCCAGCACTTGACAAGATCTACAACAAATCACTCCATATTATTCATAAGTGTTATGGAGTATGTCTGCATTGCACACCTTTGGCTGATCTATGAGGTGGGAATCCATACAGGGATTTCTAGGGTGTGATTTTACCCAGGAAAAATCTCTGGATTCTAGCAACAATATTTTGCTCTGCCCATGTAACCCGTAGCCCTACAAGTGCTGGAGGGGATTTCAGCAAACTCTTTTTTAAAACATGTCTATAAAGTTTTGCTTGTTTGTGAGAAGTCTTTTTGAAAGTCTTTTGCACTCCGAAAATAAGAGGAAAGGGAAGTCCATGGAAGTCACCCTACTGGGTGTCTCACACTCCTTTTACCCAATATTAAATTCTTTCTGCTCACCCTTTTTCTCTTGTGATCTTAGCAGAAAAAAAAAATAATAATAAAAAAATAAAAATCCTAAACATGTACCATCTATTGCAGTCAACTGTAGCATTTACCACAATGCATCTCATAATGGACAGTTAATCTGAGTGTTGGATTTTGGTATAAAAGCACAATCAGGGCAGGTGAAGGTCTGAACAGTGGGTGGAAAATGAATCACAGTTCAAAGCTGTGTTTATCAACACTGGTCCTGGATGATCGGGAGACAGCACTTCTGGCAGGAGCGTGGGTGGCATCTGAATGTTGTGAGGTCCTGCTTCATGGTCAAAAAAAATAAATAAATAAAAAAAGAGTTTCTGAAATGTTTGGAACTAAAACTTCAAAAAATTTAGCAGCTGACAAGATATTTTTAATCTGGTCTGGTGCACAGCACCTCAGCTCCCTAAAATGTAGCAGATTTTCTGCCCTCCAGTTCCTCCTTCTGCACACAAGGGTGGGATTGGTATTCTCCCTATAAACCTGCAAAAAGGGTGATGGTTTTAAGAGTAGTCCTGCCCCATTTTGCTACAGCCTCTTTGCATATTTCCTAGAGAAAAATAAAATGCCAATTAAAAAATATTTAAAGCCCTATTAAAAACAACTTACTGGCTTGCAGGGGAGAAAAAAAAAACAAACACAAACACAACATTGGATATATTTCATGGCCTGTGAAATATATAGCGCTGTCCAGTGGGCACTTGAGCTTTGCTACACATTCAGATTAGCTCCTGCTTTGAATGAATCACCACCTGGTGCTATAGATGATCTTGGTTAATTACCCCCCCTTGACATGAAGCAGAGCAGTTGTTGCAATTTTATGAGTCACAAACTGTGCTGGTAATAATAATAATTCTGCCACTGAGCCTTAACTTTATATCTTAATTGGAGTGAATACTGTTCGATTGAGAGGTGTGGTAGGAGGGGTGGGGGAAGAGATGTGGGGAAAATTAGTGCCCATAAAAACTTTCAGAGAAACTCCTTACAGTGCCTGAGATCCATAATGCAACAGAAAGATCAGAAGTCTGACAATGGTTGTATAATTTAATGCATAATATACCATAATTTAATTTATATTAAAACATACAGGATTTGGGGAAGTAGAAGTGGATGAAAGCATTCATTTATGCGTGTAGCTCCCAGCACCTCTGCTCACCATAAACTCTGCACAGTGGAAAAGGCTACCCAAGGGGCTACTCTGTCCCCTACAGTCCCAGTCACTCTTGAGATATTTAGCTCCTCTTTGCCTTTATAAATACCATTATCTCATTTGGCCAACCTAGATAGATGCATGAAGACCTGTAGGGTGAAACTGGTCTTAGAACTGAAGCATTCTGTTCCTGTCACTAAACAAATGCTTGTGCACCTCTGCTATTCTGCTACTGTGCTACCCCATCATGGTGCTTTTTTCATCTCATCCTCTTGTATGTTAGTGGGTGGGAAGATATTTGAAGGGGACAGGATCCAGAACAAGAAAATACCACTCCCTGTTTTATCTCCAGAGGTTTTTGCCACCAATAGCTGAATCTGTGAAGGTTTCTTTGGACAAGGAAACACCACAAATATGGGATAGAAGGATCCCTGATGGACCAACTGCAATGCAATTGAAAGATGAATCTTTCTGACACATGCAATTCAATGCTTATGCGTGAGGTAGTGTTTGGTTGGACTCATGATAGCCAGAATGGATCAAGGATGATGGAACTGCAATCCACCTGTCCTCACCCCACTTAGTGTGAAATTTTTTTTTTCCCCTTATCTACAAGACTACAGAACAGCAAAAGAGAAGGTGAAGCCATCCCTTAACAGCCACTCATCACCTTGAGTGGCTATGCAAGCCTGTGATCCTTTCATCCTGGACCAATCTCTTCCTTCTTTTCCAATTCCCCTTGAAGCCTTTCCTCCAGACATCCTTTAAAGCCTTGTTTTCCATCATGCAGATAACAAGGTAGAGGACTTCCCATGCTTTCATCTCCCTTTCCCTAGCACCACTCTGGGATCTGCACTTCTCCCTTCTCAGAAGCAGATGCTCTTGTGAAGGATGATGCTGCCCTTATCACAGGTTTCACATTCACTGGCAGGTTTCCAAGGACACGTTAGGAAGGGGCTCATCATTTTTTTTGGCTTAGCTGAAATGTATACAATAATGGCCTGGAAATAAAAACTATAAAGAGGAGTTAATAGCATTCTTACACAGCTGCAATGAGAAACCATTAGGCTGTTACTTAATTTCACTGTATTCAAGCATTACTTGCATAGACCTTAAGACCACTTCAGCAAGCTACTACATTCCTTCTGTGATAAATCATTTTAATGTTAAAGTTTATCAAAATAAATGGATGGAAAATGAGAAGTGGGTCAAGGGAGATAGAGAAGGAATGGCAGGAGAGTCAAAGTATATATTTTTTTATTATTTTCTAATGAAAGAAGCAGGTATTGCTGGAAATCTTCAAATTTAGAAAACAACCAAATAAAGGAAGTCAGCCAGGGCTGACTTTACAAAGACAGACACTAGCACAAACCTTTTCTAACTCTTGGATTAATCAAGACATGAATAGGACTTGGAGCAAAGTGTGTCTTGGTATGTTTGGGTCTAACTAAGTTTTCATAATGATTTCTCATATTTTTATCCCCTGTTGTTGTGCTTAAAAACATTATTTTAAAGGTGTGTGCCAGTTTATGAGACCAGGTTGAAAAACCCCAGTACAAGTTACTAAAAGTGCAAGACTTTTGTAAAAAGTTAAAAAGCTGTAGTTTTGTGCTTGTGACACAGGAAACATAATTGGCTTTCACTCCAGCGTCTCCTAAGAACTTCCAGTGGGCAAGATTCTCTTTGAACCTCTCATAAAAATGGATTTACACCAGGGCTGTCTATTACTGTTGTTCAGGCAACTTGAAGGTTGGCATTTCCCTCCTTCTGAGTGTTCTTGGCAACCTTATCATTCCCTTAACAAAATGTTTTCATTTGAGGAATAGGGAACATTAATTCAAGTTTGTAATGCCATCTGAGAATGGAAAGTGCTCATATATGGCCTCATACAAAGAACAGCAGAGAGTGAAATGACTCTGGTTGACTTTAGTGTGCTTTAATCCAAGCCCTGAATCATAGTAGTTATAATTGGGCATAATCAAAATGTGACTTTTATTACTGGGCAGGATATGTAGAAGCTTAAAAATATGTTTCTATAAAATAATAGGTTTCCTATGCTTCTCTCATTAATACTTTGATTTATTGCCAGAAATGCTGTAGACCAGGCCTCTTCCTTAAGCCAGAAAACTAAAACCTGAGCTTAAGATTTGTAAAATGATTTAATGCCACTAGAACTTGGTGGATTGTATATTCTGGATGTTTCTTGCTTTGGCCGTATTCCCTTATGCACATATGTCTTCATTCAGTAGTACATTCAGGATTTTAAATGAGTATTTCATGCATGGATGACATATTTTCAGTTGCCAATAAAATTTTCTGCTACATTGCAGTAAGGTACCCTTTTTTTTTTTTTTTTTTGTGTTCCAAAAAAGTAACAGACTTAACTCTCATATTTTATTAGAAATCTCTGCTGGCTTATGCCCAATAGTAGAGGCAAAATTCAAGACAGCCAGAGATATTGTTAGAGATTTATGGTTTTCCCAACCGGATTTTGTTGATGTGGTTGTTTTGTAGTCTAAAACAGATTTCCTTATGCAGGTGATACTCACCTCTTTCTAAACCAACTTTGCAGCAAATGCAGACTTATCCTGTTGCTGGATGATGCCAGTCATGTAAAAGTTCAGCCAAAGGCTCACCTCCTTGAACTCTCAATGGAGGTAATCCTACTGCCCCAGAAAGAACAATTAGAAGACACTAAAATTGGCAGGTGTCCTGGGAAGACCATCCCAGGATAGTCTGAGATCCTACTGCCAATCAGATACTGAATGAACCCATTGCAGAATGACAGCAGCTCCCTAATAACCCATAAGTGATTTCTACCTTGATTCTGCCTTTCCTTGATCCCCCCCCACCGTGTCCCCTCTGTGTTTTGCAGTATATTAATGGCTTTGTCAGTCAGGGTGATTCATCCCAGAGGAAGGCATCAGTTTGAGAATACATATTTCAAAATGAAGAGCAAGCTGTGTAGCAGTGGATGAACAGCACGTGGAGCAAGAGTTGAGAAAATCAATAGGTTATTGAAATTGTAATTGCAGGAACTTATTTGTTTTTAATAATAATGTTATAAATCAAAAGTCCTAGGCTGGGAGATGGGTATCAGGCAGGAGGGAAGGAGGAAAAATCAATTCTAGTGATGACTTGATTCTCAAGTCACGCATGGCCGCAGTTCAGTCATAATCCTTTCCTCATAAATTAATGCTTTTATCACTCCCAGGAGTGAGAGGGATAAACACTGTACTGGCCTGGGTGGAGAGGGAGTCACACGTAGTGATGAAGTGGGGATTTAGAGAAGAAATTGAGCAATATCACTTCATTTTATTTGACAAGGGGAGAGAGCTGCCTCACTTAAAAGATAGTGGTCCCTTTGGACCATGTGGGGATATCTACCTTACAGAATGCAATAATGGGGGGATAGCAAACTGGATTTGAACTAGCCATGAGACAGAGGGAGCAGGGAGGCTGTGGTTAGTCAAACAGATGTGTTCAATGAGGAATGGGAGGTCCATGCCCTGCTGAATGAAAGACCATCAGCAATCTGCTGCCAGATGAAGGGGGAGATGATGCCATGGGAATCTGGAAATCTGCTTCTCTTTCTCCTTGGAAAATGAGATGGGATGGGAGGTGTCTTCTCTCCACAGAAGCAGCTGGCAATGGGGATGTCAACTGCTCTAATATGGCTCTAAAATCGGATGTGAGGAGGGGTGTGTTTGTTAATAAAGTATGTGGGGAATTTTCCCCCCATCTGAACCACTGCCATATGAGTCTGCCTTCTTTGCAAATACCAAAAGGATAAAGTTTTATGTTCTAATGTTAAAGATATTCAGGATAGAGGTCTCTAGCTGGGCTAGTGCTCCCAACAGATACTTTGCAGTCAGTGGAGAGAAACAGGTCCTTTCAGGGCTTATCTCAGCTGCATTGTCCTGCACATCACACCCAAAGAAGCACCAAAAGATTGCTTCAGTTATGTGGGCATGAAAATTCAATAGGAGTCTCATCACTGGTATCTAAGCCATAGTCAGTCTGGCAGCCCACAACAGATAGAAAGCACATGGGTCATGAGGCTCTCTCTGCTTCCAGCAAATCCTTTGGTCTTTGTTGATCCTTTTGCTGATGCAGAGAAATTCATTGCTGCCTTTTATGCCAGTAGCTATTTCCCAGCAGGCTAATCTGAGCTCCATTTCAATGAGCAAATTAAAATAGAGGAAGAGACCCATCTGACACCAAGCTAAAACAAATAACCCATCGGTTGCTTCTATTTCAAGGCTGCATCACTGAAGGGCTGCAGAGTACAGTTTTGGCAAAGCCACAAGGTGACAAGCATGTCAGATAAGGTTAGGCACATTGACCGTGCTCTTTCTTTAGGTGGCAGGCTGCCCAGCAGCTGGACGGAATTGTTATATGGGCTTAATACCCTCTTGCATTTGCAGGCAGCAAGAAAAAATAAGACCTGATGCAGCTTGGCACCCAGTGAAGGATTTGTGGGCTGTGCAGCTCTCTCACCTCCTGGCACATCAACCTCTGAAATTCAGGGAGACAACAAGCCCCAGGGTTGTCTTTTCTTCAGATATGTTCAACACTCTTAATGAATCATTCCTCGTTGACCTTCCCTGCCTTGGCTCCCCTTCCACAGCCCAGTGTCACTAAGAGAAGTCTTTGATTAAAAAAAAAAAAAAAAAAAGTATGGTCTTACATTAGTCTAAGAATCTCATCTGATTCTTTGGGCTTCCATTTCAGGATGCTGGATCACAGAAACACACTCCTGTGTCCAACAAGAAGCGATATCTGAAGGGCACTTTGCAACCCAGGTCACAGGTATTCTGTGCCTTTCCTCCCAGACCATGAAGCTTTTTGTGTTGGGTCAGGCTTAGGGGCTCAAAGAGAAACTGTGAAAATCTCTCAGAGCATCGATGCCTCTTTTCACTGCTCTTTCAGAACTGAAGATATGGCTTAGGGCCACCTCACCTCCATTTCCTAGCCATTTCCAAGCAAAAGGGTTACCAAGGCTCCCCATTTCCAAGGACTGATGTGTCTATGAAAGCAGAAACACATTCTCTGTTGGGCTATCCCTGATCAGCAAAGGAGGACTGCAGATATTCTTCTTGTCACTGTGGTCTCCATTCGTGGTAGGGTGATGGGACTCTGCTTCTCCTCACAATTCATGCTACAGCAGATAATCTGGGGAGAGAAAACACAGATTCATTTTTCCCTGAGAGGTCTAAATATTCCCAATGGTAAAGGAAATGTATCTCTTTTGATGGGTCAGAAACTTGTATACAGATGCTCAAAAATTTTGACCTGGTCACAGGACTAAGTTTTTGAACTGATTCAGACTAAATTCTTATTACCATAGATCCATTTTAACTCCCTAGTAGATAAATATAAATATATATATATACATATGTACAAAGTTCCTTTTACATAAAATATAAAATATAAAAATGTAAAAAATAAAAATCATGAAGAGACTGCTGTGAAGTCTCTAAATAGGAAAAGAAAGGAATTTAAATAGGAAAAGAAAGGAATCTACGATCTAAAATGTGAGAAGATGGGCAACTTTTTCTGCAAGTTTCTGTCATCTACAGTATAAGAGGTTTTAAGAAGTGTTAAAAGTAGTGCTGACTGTTATAAGAACTAACATAAGACACTGTGGAAACCCAGCTGGCAAAAACAAATCTAATGACTGACCTGTAAGCCTCTTTGCATTCATTTTGCACTTGCAAATATTTCATAAAAGGTGAAAGCCCACATCGCTCACTTCAAAACCCATATACAGTGAAGCAAGGGTTTCCCAAATTGAAATTATTTTAACTGAGGTTTTTAGCTCTCCAGGTTCCAACTCTTGGAATGATTTCACTCCCAAGAAAGCTTTGGGAATCAAAGTATGCAAAGAGGCCTGCAATGCACATACCTATATTTTGGGTAGTATGAACAATATGATGAATAACTAAAATAACTAACTCAGATATGGATATCAGCTCTACAGGTCTAAACCTGGTCATTCGTTGTGTCCTGTGCAGCTCACAAAAAAAAAAAAAAAATTTCTTCCCCAGTCCATCATATGGACAGTGTGAGCTGCAGTGAAATTAATTATCTACTTAAATCCAGGAAAAAAAACACTAGTTTTTTGCTTTCAGATTAAGTCTCGTAGCCCATACATTTGTATTTATATACTTGGACCCCCTTATACCAAGGTCAGGGTTTTGTGTAGGGCCCATTTTGTCCTACAAAAAGCACCCAAAGGATGCAAATTTGTGTAGGACCCAAAGAGCTTCTAATAGAGTAGAGGTCTGAGGATAGGAGAGTTGTTTTTTGTTTGTTTGTTTGTTGTTGTTTGTTTTTGTTTTTAATTTTTGTTTTTAATTTTCAACAGAAAGACAGTCAAGGAGGGGATAAGGGAAAGAATCAAGCCACCACTTGACCAGGTATGTCTCTCATGGGTTAACGCCACTTCTATGGGTTAGCAGGATAGCCTGGCAAGTTTCAAGAGTCACCTGGTAGTGAACTGAGAGCAGGTTGTGGAAATATTGCAGAAAGCAGCTGTTCATCTAGCAGAGCCCTCCTGAATACAGGCCAAGTGAATTCTGGGGTGTGGATCAGTTGCCATGGCTTTGTGAACCACTAGTAGACCACAGCCCAAGACCCATCTTTCAAGGAGAAACTTTGCATCAAGGGTAGGGTTAAGGTTCACTTAAGGACAAGAGTAACTTTTTTTTTTGGTAGTAGAGTTCCTTGTTTTGAGTAGAAAATGTGATTCATTCTGCATTTTTATACTAATGCCATAAGAACATTTCCATCTCTCATAATTTTTATTACATTTCATGATTTTATTATGAGTCTTGCATTATTTATTATTTTTTTTTCTTAAAGTTCTTGCTACATAATTTTGGTCTAACATTGCTTGAATACACGTTGAGTAGTTTTTTAGCTGTGAAAAGAAACCTGAAAACAGAAGACCTCCAAGGCTGCATGGCAGATAAAATCACTTAAAGGGTATTCTGTTATTATAGCTTTTGTTTATTTGTTCTACACTATGATTTTCCAGCCTGACCAGGGATTTATGAGTGTTTTTCAAGTTGTATATGGCAGCAGATTATGTTCAGATTTCAAGGACTTTGAGTTTATAAAATCAGTTAGGTGGAGTTTAAGGTACCCTTATCCTTAGCAGGAAAAGAGTTACTTTATTATTATTATTATTATTATTATTATTATTATTATTATTATTATTATTATTATTATTATTATTATTATAACATGGAGTGATGCCAGCTCTGCTATCCAGTGAGAAACAAGGACTCACAGTAACTAGGGTTTAGCAAAATTCCCTTGGCTGGGTCCTAGGAACAATTAAACATCAATTTCAGAGGAAAAAGTAAAAAGAAAGAGCACTTTTATTCTGGACTGCTCTTCCCTCTCAAATGCCTACTGGTGCCAGTTCTATGTGGTTATTTTAGGAGAGCACAAGCTTGTGGCAGGTCAAATTCTGAAATATGTTGCAAGATTTCCGATTTATTTTTATGAATTCCCTGTTTGCAGTAGGGAATCTCTGGGAGATTTACATGGTTGGCTTGGAGGCACCAATGCAACTCACAAGTGCTGAAAGCCGAGTCCCAGGAGGAGAGGAATGAGTTAATAATGAAGGAGGGGGTTAGTTTCTCAGAGGGGAAATCCTGGATGGGTTAAAGCAAGTGGCAAAACTCCCAATATTTTCAGTAAGGCCATAAATTGTATTTTTTTTTTTAAGAGTATGGGTTTGAATTTTTAATCCACAAAAGAATGTGTACAGAAATGGCATTGGTAGGTACAGATGTATGTATGCATGTTGGTGGGTATGCACTTTAATTGTATGTTGGTGCATATTATACAAACATTTATAATCCTTGTAAAGATACAAAATACATTTTTTTTTCTTCTTGAATTTGTTTTATTGTACAAGAAACCCTGAGAATCACCCCGAGTACCTTAATGACATGATTTCTGTAAACACAACCACATAACCTCTACTACTCCCGCAGGATACACCCCCTTTTAAAGCTTTGGTCTGTATCCCATAGAAAACAGGAGCAAAACTCTCCTGATCTTCAAAGAGAGCATGATTCTGCTTTTTAAATCAGGGGTCTGATGTAGAGAGGTCTGGCTCCTCTGTGAGTTGAGCAGAGGTTATTTTGGTGCAGCAATGAGAAGCTCATTTTGCTGCAGAGGACAGAATAAGTGAGCCTGGATTCAGTAAACAGCCAGAAGTCCTGAACAGCATTAATGAAACATCTGTCTGTGGAATATCCTCCCACCGAATCAAGGGTTTAAAGGCTGCAGGAGCTGTTGTTATATTTTGTGGTTGTGCTAATAAGAGGAAAAGCATTTCCAGCTAATGGCTTCATTCACGTGAGGCCAAATCATCTTCACAGGGCTGCAGAAAGCAGAATCTGCAGGCTGCAAAATATTTTCCTGGTATTCATATTTATGATACTTTCCAGGGTAATAGCCATGATGGCACTCAGTTAATAGCTGTAATGACACTCAGTGCAGGTGTTTCTACTTAAATACTCATTAACACTCTAATTTTGCTCTTTTGGCTTAAGCGTTATTTCCATCCTGTCATGGGCTCCAGGGAAAGCAGAAAGTGATTCTCGCGGAGCATCTCTGTGGTTCAGACCCTGAGTGAAGAGTAACTGGGTTTTACTGCTCAAGAAAACACTGAGGTCCAACACAAGTGCCATCGATATGGGCTAAAAAGCATTCCCCGAAGCTATAGGGTCCTACATGTCATGAATTTTCAGCCAGTGTTTCAAGTGAATGAAGGCCATGGGGTGACTGCATGTGTCCTGACGTCTTGCCTTTGAGGAAGGTTTGGGGAGGTTGAGGTGAGGAACTGGTGTCTGGGCAGGGAAGAAGTCCTGAAAACTGAATGTTTCCTCTTCTTTATGCAAAAGCCTGGGGAAGTGATTTGACTGTGAGGCACGTGTGGTGAAAGTTTACAATCATGTCTCCAGCACATAAGAAAGTAAGTACAAAATCTGTAGTTACTTCTGCTAACTTGATGAATTGTGAGTGTGTACCAAAGGGGCAGAACTTACTCTTGGACCTAGCTCTGAAGGTGAAATTCCTTCATCCAAAGAATGAAATCTTAATAGGGATTTGTCTTATTATTTTATTACAAATCTCGAAATGGTACAAAAAGAACAAGATTTAGGATTTAAGCTTGCCATAACTGACATATTTAAACAAACAAAAAAAAATGGCTAATAAAGTCAGTATGTATACCATAATCTCCCCCGGTTAACTCCCTGCACCTGAACTGGTGGAAAAGGACACGTCAGCACTCTGCAATCTGCTTCAGCACCAGTAACTTATTTCTGGTGCACATACATCTTTGCAAGTGGAAATGACACCTTCAGCATGTTGAAAATAGTATCTTCAAGATGCTTCCAGGCTATATATATATATGTACATATTTGTGTGTTTTTGAGGGTTACCCAGTCCCATAGCAGCAGAGATAAGAGTAGGACAATCCCATATCTCATTTAAAGCTAGTGTGGTGTCCCTGTTTTCTCGTCCCCATGACACAGATCTCCCAGCGGATTGCTAATTGAGATTCCCAGTGACTCCTTCTCCAGCTCATTCCACATTCATCCAGAGTTGCTTCTTTTCAAAACTCATTAGTGGCATTTATCCTCATTTAAATGAGAAGAAGCCACGTATGTAAGATATACAGATGGCATATTGTCTGTGGAGAATCGTTAAAGCTCGGAGAAGATTTAATAATAATAATAAAAAAAAAAAAGAAGGAAGAAAAAGAAATAAATAATAGTATGCTGAAGAGACAAAAACTCCCGCAGCAAATAATCAACAGGAGAAAGAAGGAAAAAGGCCTGCTGGAAGGCAGGGATCACTCTGGAGAAGGAGTCAGGCAATCTCTGAAGGATCAGGGGGGAATCTGTATAGAGTGTTTCACCCCTCAAAATAATGATAAAACAAAATAGCAAAGCAATGATTAAACAGGTAGGCAAACAGGAGTGAGCTGGTGAGCAGGAGAACAGAAGACCTATGGAAAAATAGCTCTAGCAGCAAAGTTATTTCTAGATGAGGGAGCTGGAAGTGTTCTCTGTAGTTCAAATCCTACAGTTTTGGTCATCTTCTGACTCTATAAGCAAGACCAGCACCTTCCATTCTGCAGGGATGTGGGACCATTCTCCAAGGAATGCTGTTGCATGGCCCAACACTTTCTCATTTACAGCATAAAAGCATTCATGCATCATTACTACATTTGTCTTGCACCAGCTTTTGCCTTTCTGCCTTTACATTTCCCTGTGTTGAACCCCCTGACATTTCCTGAAGTGTATAAAGGGGACAGAGTTATTAATCATTTGCTTTCAGAGGATACCTCTGCCCACTGCGCATATGTACATGAATTGCACAATATGACTCAGGTAGAAGAGGCATGGCAAAACAAATTAATTTATGCCATTAGTTTATGCAAAGAATTTCACACTCATTTAGCTTGCCCAGAACAGCATTCTTAGCCCTAATGTCTGGGTATTTCTGCCCAATGTCATCCAGGAGAGCCATGCTCATAGATTGACAGGTAAGATTAGGGCACAAAGGAAGAAGAACAAATGCATATTGGTGTCAGGGCAGCTGACCCCAGAGGGTTAATGCATTATTGGTGAATATCCGACTGGACCCCAGGCGATTAACGCGTTATTAATGTATCCGACTGGTTCAGTACCCTGAATCTGACTGGGCCCATAACGGTTAATCAGCTACACCCCTTAATGCGACATTCCTATTGCTTGGTTATTGCTCTCTAGCTTGGTGCTCAGTAAATTTGCTATGGGGGCTTCTTGGCCATGCACTTTCAAAGTCCTTGGATATTATGGCATGCTTTGCATCATTGTAGTCTTATGAACTGCACAGGGATCACTGGTAGCTCTTGAATTTACTCGTCTCAGGCTATTCTTCTCTTCATCTCAGGGCCTGAATGAAAACTAGGCATGTTTTGAGTGTTTCAGCACCATCAAGGCAAAGGTATTATGAAAGAGACCAGAGTCTGGAGAACTTCATTCACAAATTCATAGAATGGCAGGGGTGGCAGGGACCTGTGGAGTTCATCTAGTCCAATGTAATTTTCATTTTAACTATTCACAGTGCTCCAAGGCAGAGCTTTGGTCCAGCCCACCCAGATGGTGCAGCTGGTACTTGGATAGAGTTCCAGGGACCACCTGAGCCAAGACCTTCCCAACAGCCAGCTAGGCTGGATAGAGACAAAGCCAGAGTAGCTCCCAATGGGGTACAGATCACCCACATACTTTTCTAAAATGGACTGGCTTTCACAGATGTGACCAAGGCTGGCTGATCTGGAGAAGATATTATTGCTGTTTTTATCCATTTTATGAAGGATAACAGTAAACATCAGAGTCCTTTGTTTGATTTCAAAGAAAACCAGAAATGAGAAACAGAAAAGTAAACACTCTCTCTTTTTTAATTTTTTTTTTATCTTTCTTGCTTTTATTTTTTTTTTCCTCAGCACATGAAATTCCTCCAATATTGCTCTGTATCATTATTTAGGCAGACTGGGAAAATAGAGAAGAAGGGTACAGTGACTTCTCCAAAATCAAGTAACACAACAGCTGAGGACCAAATCCCCATCTTCTTAGTATTGAGTCATCCTTTGTCTACTGGAATTCATTGCAATATAAATTTATGTAAGTTTATTTAAACAAACTTTTAGCAACTTGTACTCCTACCCCTACACAAACTGCAAAGAAAAAATAAATAAATAAAAAGCAGATTAAGGAGTAAAGAAACATGGTGGCTGCAAAATAATCCCAAATATATGTGGCTTACATCATCAATCCAAATTCTTAGCAATGAGAGAAATTAATATGAAGGAAAACTTATTGAAGAGAACTGCGAGTTCAGGAGTCTTTCAATCCTCTGGGGAAGGAGGAAAACACTTTTCATCTCACCTCATGCAGATGGATGTCTCCATCCATTCTCTCACCTCTGTGTAAACCAAAGGAGAAAAACATGTTCTGAAAGGCAGTTCATCTCATTTATTGTAGATGCTGACTTTTAATATTTTTCTCTCTATAGTAGCATCATTAGTGAAGACATCCTAAGATTTTTATTTTTATTTTTTGGCTTGAATATGGATTTTTCCACTGTAGACATCTATACATGAGAAAGTCACCCTTTATACTCCCACGTGTTACAATATTTGTCTGTTTCTTCCGATGATTTGTGCCATTCACTTTATTTACTCTGTTGGCTAGATCTCCCATGACTGTAATAGCAACCTAACCACGTATCTCAGAGAGATCTGATCTGTCCCACAGCAGTGTATAGAACTTCTCTTCTTTAAGCAGGAATAATCAGTTTGGCAGAGCTGAGGCTGCCCAGATTGTTTTCTCTAGAAATGGTCCAGTTGGAATTCCAAGGCCTTAAAAAGGTACAGAAACATTAACAGCATCTTGGAACACACCACACAAAACCTATTTAGTTTTGTGATGTCTCCTTAGGTCGAGAATCTCATGAAAAGCACCTTGCGGTGAGGAGTCCCTACAATGAGCTCTTGAAACCCACCCAACTAGTTGTTCATCTATTTGTGTATCAGAAACTAACAAAACCCTTCTGCTTGCACCTCACTGTCTCATTTCAGTCGATCTGACCTGTTGGGGACAAATTCACTTGGTATTAAGCAACTCCACTATAATCCTACTCATGCTTTAAATAACACTTTTTACTGGAGGATTATCCACCTGCCAACTCTCAAATGTTATCAGTTATTCTGTATTCTTGTTTATTCTCCGCAATTTATCTCTTTGATTTATATGCCCATGCTGTTCTCTGCAGTCGGCAAGTCCCTGTTATCTCCCAAATTGTTTTCAAAAACACTTTTTAAATGGCACACAGAATAAGCTGAGGCTCATCCTCCACTGCAGTGCAACCGTTATGGTTGGAGTTGTCCCAGCAGTCACACGCATTGCCATTGACAGGAGGAGGAAGCTGGGAAGCTGGGAAGTATGAGCTGGAGCTGCCTACACACCCTAGGAAAAAAAAAAAAAAAATGATATGTGTGTATTAATGTACACTATTATCCTGACAGTAGGTGAGCAATGATGTAGGAACACCCAGCTGGACCAGCAGGAATGGCAGATTGAAGAGCTGATGTGTGCTCATTATTCATTGTCCAGTGCACATTGCTTGCCCAATACATTAAAAAGTTGCTATTCTTACCCCACTTTTGGATATTTAAATGGTAAAACTGAGGTATGGGGGGATTAAAAAAAAAAAAAAAAAAAGGAAAAAAGAAAAAAAGACTTGAAAAGAAAGAATAATCAGGAATTACGTCTGCTATGTCTGCTGCCATGACCAAATTTCTGCTGCTACAAGTAGCTTTTTTTTTTTTTTTAACAGATTCCTTATCTTTCTTGTTCTGACACTTGCATGAGGTTTTTCAGGTCTGGAGTCCCTGACCATAACTGCTTCTACCTCAGGCATAAGTCTGCTTTGAAACCTAGGGGATGCTATGGCTGCTGCTACCGAGACTAATAAACCAGACAGTCTCATTACTTGATTCTGCTCACAACAATTTCACATTTTCAAGTTATTTTCTCCAGGCACATGGGTGAGAAACATCCTTTAAAAACCTCAACTCAGATTTTTGAGTAATCCCATGGTTTCATCAACTAGAGTTTACAAAAGAAGCAGATGAGTACCCTGAGGCTTGCAATATAAGCAAGCATAAGACCCGTCTATACCTCATTGAACATACCTCAAAGCACATTTGGTACCAGGAAAGAGCCTGCTCTGTTGGGGGGCCTGGCTACTGGGAAAAGTTCCAGGAAAACAAAATGACATGAAGAGAGAGGAAAAACTGAAATGCAAGATCTCATCCATGCATTATACTAAAAGGTCATTTTCTACAGCAGACTCCTGAGAAAACAGGCTCCTGTGCAATGGAGTCAAGCTATTTTACCCTCCCTCTTAACTACTAATCAGCTGTAACTAGTAATCAGCTAAGCTGCCTTGTCATCCACTATCATTTGCTCTGCCCACATCCAGCTAGAACGATTTAGTCTATCTATCTTACAGCTTTAAAAGTACAGAAAGGTGAAATCAGTCATAAATGATAGGGGAAGAGATCTTATAACACGGGAACAATGTGGAATGTTTCTGCTTGTAAGAAAACTGCTCACTATCATAAGCAGAATGGATTTTTCCAAGATCTTCATGTTAAAATGT